TTGTATCCAAATGCTGATTGGTCAGCTGAAGTGATTGACATATAAGATTAGGTCACGAGACATTAGATTAGGAGACGCTAAGCCAGAGAGCAAGTATATATGTATAATATAGCAGAGTAAATATATGTTATAAAAGTTGAATAACAGAGGATATAAAAGCACCACTGGAAGCTAATGTTCTTGACGACATAACAGGTAACACTCCAGCTATTAAATGGAATGAAATAAAGAATCAATGGCCACATCTGAAGCATATCCCATTCCAAAATGTTGCCAAGCGACCGCAAATCGACTTATTAATCGGTAGCGACCATCCGGTATTTCATCAAGTTCGGAGAAAAGTTCAAGGGACTCAGACTAATGATCCTGTTGCTAGACAAACAAACCTTGGTTGGGTTTGTTTTGATCCGACCGTTGTCTCAAACCGGCCGTGCAAGTCGCGTTCCCATCATTCAAATCGTACATATCAAAGTTCCAATGATGATGTGAAAGAAACGAATGATTTATTACGAAAGTTTTGGGAACTTGAAGCTATAGGAATGAAAGACGGAGATAGCCAAACTTGGACCCAGGACGAGTTAGCTGCAATGAAGATTGCTGAAGAAACACGGGTAGCCAGAGATGGTAGATATGAGATTGGGATTCCTTGGAAAGCTGGAGAACCTAAGTTCAAAAATAATTTCGAGATGGCACATCGAAGATTGCAAAGCTTAGAGAAGTCACTGATGAACAAGGGATCGGAAGTTGCAACCGGATACAATAAGATAATCGAGGACTATGTTGATAAAAACTATGTTCGCAAAGTGCCTTTGACAAATGAAGAACAATGGTTTCTTCCTCACTTTCCTGTTATCAAAGAAGACAGAACCACCACTGAAGTCCGTATTGTGTATGATGAAGACGAGGGAAAGTGTTTAAATGATGCCATACTATCCGGGCCAAAACTCCAGCAAGATCTAGTGGACGTATTAATACGTTTTCGTAGCGCGCCAGTTGCAATATCAGCCGATATTTCTCAAATGTTCTTGCAAGTCCAGCTCAAAGAAGAAGATCGACCGTATCACCGATTCCTATGGCGTAATTTTGACCAGTCAAAACCCCCAGATGTCTACGAGTTCCAACGTCTGCCGTTTGGAAATACAGCATCTCCCTTTTGTGCCCAATATATCCTACATTCCCACGCACGTTCACACGCTGAGACACACCCGGAGGCTGCTGATACCGTGGAGAACTCCATGTACGTGGATGACGTACTCGATTCTCGTGAGACAACACAAGAAGCCAAGAATTTACGACGAGAGCTTTCAGACATGCTTAGCGGAGCTGGATTTGATTTAAGAAAGTGGTTGTCAAACGAAGTAGAAGTCATTGAAGAAATTCCAAGTGACAATCGATTGCCCGGAGTGGAAATTACAGATAAAAATCTTCCAATGTTAAAAACTTTGGGTGTGTTATGGAAATCACAAGTCAAGCAACCCAAAGTGGTGGACCCAACTAAGAGAAACGTATTGAGTGCGATTGCGATCCTCTTCGACCCTCTACAATTATTGGCACCATTTACTCTAAGAGCCAAAGTGTTAATGCAAGAAATCTGGACTGCTGGTTTAGATTGGGATGACCCTCTACCAGATAACTTAAAGACAAAATGGAACGTTTGGATCAATGAACTTCGCGACTTGTCGAATTTCCATATCCCACGCTGTATACGACTGCTAGATCCGATCGAAACACAGCTTCATGTATTCTCAGATGCTTCCAAAGATGCCTATGCTGCAGCTGCCTATTTGCTTTGTAAGTACAACTGCCAAAACCCAACATGCTATCTCATCGCGTCAAAGAGCCGTGTTTCACCGATTAAAGCTGTTACAATACCACGCCTTGAGCTTATGGGAGGTATACTCTCTGCCCGATTGGCGAGGAACATTAATAGAAAAACACTGACCGTTGGCAAGACAACTTTCTGGACGGATTCAACCAATGTCTTGTACTGGGTACGCAGCAAAAGCCGTTCATTTAAACCGTTCGTGGCAAATAGAGTAGCGGAAATTCAACGTATAACCGACCCTGAAGAGTGGCGTCATATCCCAGGGGAAGAGAACCCAGCAGATCTACCGACTAGAGGTCTTACAGCGTCTCAATTAACAGAAAGTAAATTATGGATTGAAGGCCCAGAATTCTTAAAGAACAACGAGTCGTGTTGGCCGGAGAAGTTGCCCAACAATAATGCTGACGCGAGCTCAAATGACGTCGAACGCAGAAAGAAACAGACCCACCACACGGGTTCGCATGTAACGATTGAGAAGCCTGAACTGCTCGACCCCAGTAAGTTTTCCAGCCTCACCAAATTATACCGCACGACAGCTTGGATCAAGCGAGAGAGAGAGAGGGAGAGAGAGTTCCCCAAGGTTCAGTTCTAGGTCCTTTATTATTTCTTATTTATATAAATAATTTGACGACTTCGGTTAATCATGGTACTGCCCGAATGTATGCAGATGATACTAACGTATCATTCTCAGCATGTGTATTTTCTGAACTTCAACGGCAGATGAACAAAGACCTGGAACATTTAGAATCCTGGCTTATAGCCAACAAACTTACTTTAAATACAGTAAAAACTGAATATATGGTTGTTGGTTCAAAACAGAGAATAAATTCACTTGTGGGTGATCTGACATTTTCCCTTAAAGGCTCGTTTACACTTGCAATTTTCGCTGCGATTTCTAGTGCGATTTCTTCTTTTGACGGATGTGAACCAGTAGAAGAGTGATGAATGTTCTGAGTATCTGTCATTGAACTATAAATAAACTGGAAGGCTAACTCAGGGGGTGAAATTGAAGCCAGTGTATTTTAGTTTTTCTGAGTTATGAGCAGAAATACTCAACACTGAACGTTGGGCAATATATCAAATTGAAGCTATTGAAAAACGCTATTTGGTGTAGAAATTTCAAGACTTTAGCTAAAAGGGAAATATTGAAAAACTACAAACATAATTACCGATAATTTGCCGTTTTGCAGTTGTTTTTGTATTTTTTAAATATCTCTCTTTTCGCTGAAGTCTTGAAATTTCCACACCGAATAGCAATTTTCAATAGCTTCAATTTGATATATAGCACGACGTTTGGGGTCAAGTATTTCTGCTCATAACTCAGAAAAACTATTTTGGCTTCATCAAATCATAGGCCTTCATCATAGCAGTTAGCCTTCCAGTTTATTTATAGTTCAATGGTATCTGTCCCCTCATCTGACGATTCATAGCTCATCCACTCGTTCACATCCATCAGAAGAAGAAAATCGCACCTAAAATCGCAGCAAAAATTGCAAGTGTAAACGGGCCTTAACGATATATCTCTACGTAAAGTAAGAATTTCTCACATGGGCTGACCACATAGATGTAATTAAAAAATTAGCGATCGGCATTAGTCTGCTACGTAAAAATAGAAAAGTCTTGAAAAAGTGCGATCTTATGAATGTATATAGAGCTATTGTAGAACCTTATTTTGATTACTGTTGTATTATTTGGGATGGCATCAGGGACTATTTGGCGTTAAAGCTTCAAAAACTTCAAAATCGTGCAGCGCGTATTATCACTGGAGCCAACTATTCGCGAAGGTCCAGTGATATATTAAACGAATTAGGATGGGAGAAGTTGAGTGAACGAAGACAAAAATGCAAAGCAGTGATGATGCATAAAATATTAAACCATAAAGCACCGTTATGTTTCTCAGGTTTATTTAGACCAGAAACTGGTGCCAATTTTTATGATCTTCGTTCTTCAACAGAGAATGTTGAACTTCCACTAATTCGAATTGAATATTACAAGAGAAGTTTTGTTTACTCCGGCGCAAAAGTGTGGAACTCTCTTCCTGAAGTTTTGAAAAAAGAGAGTTCATTAAAGCGGTTCAAAGATCTATTTAAAAATATCCATTTTTCCGCTGATCATTAATTAATTAAATTAATATATTGTAAACTATAGGCTTACAGGTAGAACAAAACTGCATGTATATGATTTTGATGTAACCACCAAACACTAACCACCCGAGAATTTTTTTAGCTTCAATTTAAGCCTGAGTTTCTTTGTGTGCGTAGTATGTTGGCGGCTAAAATTTTCGTTATCCAAACAAGAAATTATATACTAAATTTTTCAGTACTTTTTAGTTGATTCAGAGAGAGTAAAGAACAAGACATAAATATTTTACAACCAGCTTAAACTCAATAACTATGATATAATATGTCCACAACATATATTATTAGAATAATTCCTATATATAATAAAATAATTCCCGACTGAGAATGCCTATTTACAAATTGGCACAATCGACGTTTCTTCTGCAATTATAATCTTTTTCACACATTCTAATTTATACTTATATATAGCAACAATTTTGTTCGAGTGAAAATATTCTTTCGAGATTTGAATTCACACATTGTTGAAGATATTCCAAAATATGATTTACATGGCATGTTCGGTAAGTATATTGATAGTGTCATTATATAAATAGAGAATAATACATGGGTGCGCGGAAATACCAGATTTATTTCGAGTGTTGAACATGATATCTCACGAGTGAGCGCAGCGAACGAGTGAGATATCATGTTCAACACGAGAAATAAATCTGGTATTTCCAAGCACCCATGTATTTTTCTGTTTATTATATAAACAAAATTCAGTGAAAAACAATAAAACGTCCGTGGCAATGCGTTTTACAACAAATGATATTTTCACACGTAAAAATATCGTATTTTTTACGTGTGTTTAAATACGATTTTTCTCAGTGGCCAAAAACTCTATATAACACTTATGTTTATATAATAAAAACTTCTATTCAACATAAATTAGGTTTGTAATGATTGTGGTGTATGTATTCAGATGAAATTATTTGAGATGATGTTGCTCTGAGTGTATCCACACCAGGCAAGCTGAAACGTTGGCTTCACAATGGTGGGAATCGAACCCTCGTCCTTTGGCTTGCTAGTGCAATGCTCACCAACTGAGCTACGACTGGGTCAGGCCGGTTTGAGTATAGGTGATATTTCGGAACTAAATCTAGTTGCTTCGATAATGGTATATCGAACTAGCAAAGCGAAGGTCGCCAGTTCGATTCCTACTGTGGTCAAGCTAACTTTTCAGCTTGCCCGCTGTGGATACACTCAGAGTAACATCATCTTAAATAAATTAGGTATATACACGTAGCCTATAAGATGCCCTAGCTATATTGAGTCAAAGTCGTTCTAAATGCAGGAACGTCTTAGACTATATATATATATAGGCATGACTGGCCAGTTATATATTTCAGGCAAGGGATTAATGCTCTGTTACTGCAATTACAGTACTGTGGCTGACTAAAAAGTGTTAGTATGGTTTCGAAACAAGTATTAATCAAGATTATACTCATTCACAGGTGCACCCCAAAATTGCAATAGTTGTGTTCTAGATTGTTCAAATATATAATGGCTGTATAAAAAAGTTTGGTTCACTCAATGTATTGTATATATGAAAAGGTTCGATGGTCCCTTACTTTAAACAGTCGTATAGAGCGTTTGCACCGCTCATTCCCCAAAAGTCATGGCGGCCATGTTGGTGTTCCAGACAAGACCACTATTGTTTCGGCACCTTAATCTGAATATCACATCAAGCACCATTTCACGTGCGCCTCCTCCCATCTCATCTACTGCATCTCTTGCAGCAGATGTGGCATGCTTTACATTGGGGAAACTGGAAGATGTTTAAGGACAAGATATAAAACAACGATAACTCAGAAAATAAAATAAAATTATATAATTTTATTTTCGGAGTTACCGTTGTTTTATATTTTATTAAAATGCTCAGTGGTTCCCGTAATTTAAGGACAAGGTTTGGTGAGCATCGGCGTGCAGTTATTGGCAATGATGCTAACCAACCCGTGTTGCCAGACATTTTAATAATGGCAATCACAGTGTTTCAGATATGGTAATTCGAGCCCTCTGTCCCTTTTCTGGAAGCAACGATAGCCGCAAACGACATGAAATGCGCCTCATATCCAAACTTGACACCAGGGGCGTAGGAAGCACCTGGAGTTGGGGGGGGCACCGGCTTGTAGGGGCACATTACTATCGGAAAGGGCACCTAAAAAAATTTTCCCGGAAATGTTGTCGACGGGGGGGGAGAGAAATTTCTCCTGAGGAGAATTTTCCGTCGTATCATACCGAAATTTATGTTTGTGACCTAATTTTTAAAAAAATTTTGTAAATTTCCACACAAAAACGGCACCTATTGTTTTAATTTAGTATTTACAGCGACATTAGCTTCTACAAAAGGGGCACTTTTCCTCACAAAAAAGGGCACTTTTCAACACAAAAAGGGCACTTTTTATCACAAAAAAGGGCACTTTTAGTCCTTTAAAAAAATTTGGGGGGGCACGTGCCTCCCGTGCCCCTCCGCTTCCTACGCCCCTGCTTGACACTGACCACTGTTCACCTCTCTGGTATTAATGAACGCTTTTCCTATGTTTAATTCCATCTGTCTTTGCCTGTCAAAAGCAGACATTGACAGCATTTATCTATTTATTTCTTCTATTTCTTACCTTATTCCCACATGTGTTTTGTTTTGATTAATTTTTACTGTATATAACAACCTTATATATACGAATGCAGCATGCTGCATCTTGATATCTGTTTTATAAAATACTTGTTAGACAACTCACTTGGAGGTCGCACGATACAAGGTGAAATTAACCCAATTCAGACACTTGGAACAACCACCATATATCTACTTTATATTTATTTAGCTGCAGCTGGAGGGATGTTGGGTTTATTACTTGGAGCAAGCGTTCTAACATTAGTGGAGTTTCTTGACTTCTTAATAAAACTCTTCAGAATGAAGTGGTCAGAAACAAAAGTTAGAACCATCAATTAACTCCTCGTCACTACAGAGAAGCAAAGGTGTTTACGTACCACGGATATAACATACTGTCGTTATACAATATATAAGTATAACAATATATCGACCACGTAAAATTAATTATAGCATGTATCAACTTGCGTGGTATTTTGAAATGTATATTTGGAGTCAATGCATTTAAGATGGAGAATGGTATACCAGCGGTTTTTTATGAGAAAAGTTATGATGAAATTGCTTCAGAATTATTTTTCTGTCCGAAAACTGTCTCCAGGATTTTTAACTGTTTTTACAGTAGAACTACCCTGGTTCCAGAAGGCTCTTTGCAAGGCGAAAGAAACGAGAGGCTAGAAGGAAGAGCCTCTGGTCACATCGGTTGCAAATCCCACTTCCACACTTGATTAGGTTCAGAATTTGAATCTCGCACGTGATTGGCCATTTGTAAAACTATGTCAAACCGGTACATTACTGTAAGCTAATTATAGCTATAATAGCTATAATTAGCTTACAGTAATGTTTATTTCCCAAACCGGTTTGACATATTTTCACAAATGGCCATCAAATTATGAACCTAATCAAGTGTAACCTGTGATCAGGCCTAAATAATAAATAGGAAGTGGGATTTGCAACCGATGTGACCAGAGGCTCTTCCTTCTCGCTTCTCGTCTCAACTTTTCCGCTTTGCTGGGGGACAACTTTAATTGAAATAGCTGTATGTGATCATGCATGCATGATTCTCATAATTTATTTTTGAACGGTCTTTACTATAAATTTCTATATCTACAAGTAAGCACTAATCATAATAATTCGATTAAATAACCTTCCATAGTTCCAATCCAGAATAAAAGTTCTTTAGGCATTAAGCTGTAGGCCACACCAGGGAAAAAAGGAGATTTCACAAATCTTCCCTCGATGTATCTGAAACTGCAAATGCAATAGACATATGCAACATTATACAATCGTGATCTTCTCCTAAATTCCTAATCCTAGCTACCTCTTATTTTAACGCTAATCATTTCCTTAATCCTACCACTGTTCTAACTTAATCTAACCAGAAGTCCTATCTTAATCGAACCCGAACCTAATTCCATCATGCATCCTTGTATATCCAATCCATACATGTCCAATACCTATGCAAGATGTCCAATGGAATAATCAAAAGGCCATTGGACATTCCATTTGTCAAATGGATCAAATGGACCTCCAAT